GGGGTGCTTCCCTTTCGGAATACCCTCTTTTGCATAATAAGTGCTGCTTCTTCGCACCCTTTTCGGATTATGAAGGGGTACACACCGAAGGCGGGAAGGGGGGGGGGTTAGCTCGCTCCCCTTTAAAGCAGGAGGGGTGCTGCTATCAGATCTGAACCTACGGTTTCCCTTGACTAATTGCGAAGGGGAAAACCTTCGAGGTCTTACAGAGCTTTGCTGAGTCTACCTTTACACCTTAGATATAAGGCTACTGCGCTCTAATTCCCCACAAGGGGTATAAAAAGGCTGGTATACTTTCGTAAAGTTAGTAAGTATAACGAAGTAATTAGTTAGTAGTACAAATGTACTTCAGAATCTTTAAAGCTAGTGATGGTACGGAGAGGAGCTGCCCCGAGTTGCTATGCTTCAGGTTGAAAAATAAAGCTTCTTACCAGAATTGAACTGATCTTTACTTCGTGAAGGGAAGTTGTTTTAACCACTATACCAAAGAAGCTTAAATTAAAAAGCGCTATTTAAACAAGGTGATGCTAGATGCTAGATGATAGAAACTAGAGACTATAATTTATTTATTAGCCTCTCCTCAGCTTACGTCCGCTACTGCTGCGAGACTAAGGGTCCTAACCAACGGTCAAGAGGAGAACCCTGAGGGCTGGCATTGCTCGTAAGGATCCTTCTGCTTTTCTCGCCTGCGTAGGTATGGTAGCGAGTATGGTAAGGGCGAGCGCGGGTGGTATAGAACTGGAGCCTTCGGAGTGCAGGCTGGTTTTTTTGGTGAGCTACGGTTGCAGGCAGAGTCAAGCTACCGCAGGCAACGCGGCTTCCTTGCGCTGCCTCTGAGGGACAGCAGGGGAGTGAATCTTTGCAGCGTAGGAGGGCTGAACCTATGAACTTCTTAAAACTAGAACAACTAGACCACTGAATCAAGCAGGGAGGAAACTAAGAATTAAGGAAGTATTAAATTGGAGTGCTTTAGTTGTACCAGTCAACAAGTGTATTTAATAGAATTTCTGTAAGACTTTTTTAGTGCTAATTAACTTTAAAGTTTTTGTTTTTTTCCCAGTATACAATCATATGCGGATATATTTTTTACCACAACAGGGTAACCACTGCAGCGCTGCAACATTCCGAAGGGGTAGCACTACCTTGCTTTAGCATGCAAGGGTGACTGCTGCACAACCCTCTTATTAATATCCTTGAGTCTAAGTAGAACTACTCTGCAGGGACTCCGCTCTCGCGAAGCGCCATTTTGGATTCTTGAGAGGAAATAAACACTAAGGATCCAGCTTTACAAGCTAGTGAAAGGGTATCAGTAATCGGAAAGGGCTGGAGGGCTCTTAATATACTCAGTGGGGATACACTTACGCAACTGCACGTGAAGCTTTGCGGAGGGGGTCCAGATGAAGGCAAGAAAACTAATATTGATACTCCGCAGGCCGGCTGAAAAATTAACCCTTCAAGGGACCCCGTCTACGGTCCGCTGGCGGAATGGCAGGCGTTATTTAAAATATTTAAAGCTAAACTAGATTATATCTAAAAAAAATTAGGTTAAAGCATAGGGCGTTAAATTCTCAATTAAAGATACTACAATCCTTTACTCAAATCAAAAAGCTAAAGCGTTCGTGATAGGGGACCTCTTAATCGCGGATATAGCCTATAGCTTATCGGCTCTGGTCTAAGAGTTATTTTAAAGAGTGAGCTCTACTTTAATCCTCTTAAACAAATTAAGTTACTAGAGTGAAATCACTAGTGACTTGCAGATAAAAGGTAAGGCGGTATACTCCGCAACCGAGAAGCGTGCAAAGCGCGAGCTGCTTAAATTAGTCAACAGCACAGCATGCTCCACTGTCGCGGAGGGGCTACGCTGCCCCACCTGTCGCGTGCTGAGCGTTGCTGGTGGGGCCCGTTGCTTCTAAAGGACTGCTTCTGCTTTACCTGCTCCGCGGGAGGGAGAGCCTGTCTGCGGACAGTAGGATAGCTGTTTACTTATCTATATACTTAGCTGGTAAGTTAACGTTTCACACCTTAACTACTTTCTCTTAAGATCGCTCCAGTTTAGAGCTTCACTAAATTATTAATAAGAATACAACGGCAGGTTAACCTAAGCTAATCTACTCGTTACCTGCCTTATAGCTAAGGTACCAAGAAGCTCAGCTCAAAGGCCTCCCTCGTGCCCTCCCCGAGTGCGAGAGTTAAGGTAGAGCACCTCCTCATGATGTAAAAGGTTCGCGCCCGCGCAACCCTCCAGGATTATAGCTGCCCTGGTACCCTGCAAACTGCTTCTGCTTTAGCACAGTCCAGTGAAGCTGGCGCGAGCGTGCTGCGCCCAGCCCCCTGTCCCGCCCTGCTCGGGAAGGGGCAGCGCTGGTCTGGTGGTGGGATTGTATGTAACTAAAGAATAAAAAATTTTTTAACAAAAACTTAAGTGTTAGACAATCTACTCTCTCCTTTAGCAAAGCTAGCTATCGTAAACTAGCCCTGAACCCATACTGCTCGAGGGTCCTGAATCGTAGTATTACAGGCTGGAGCCTGCCTCCCGGCAGGGCGGAAGGTAACTGGTGACGGGACTGAGCCCACGGCTGCGGATTTATCCCTCCCTTGTTCAACCTCCACTGTCCCTCCAGCGCTGCGAACCCTTAGCAGTGCTGGAGGTTCGCACCAGCGACGCTAGATGAGAAAGCAGTCCTTCGACTCTGGGAATTCGCAGGATTGTAGCTCCTGTTACGCAGTGCGCCCCCTGCGGAGCGCCGTTAAAGCAAGGAGAGGCAGCGCAGCATGCTGGAGGAGGACAAAATTTTTTAATCGTTGTTATTTTCTATTTATTTTCCCTTATTATATATAAAATTTGATACTTTTTTTATATACCCTTAAAGAACCTTAACTAGATTATTTTTTAATCTTAGTTTTAGAAATTACTATACTTTTAAAAAAAAGAGAATAAAATTTTAATTCTAAAGAATTGACTTTGCACTAGGACTGAAGAAAAATAAGCAATTATATCTTTTATTTTAATAAATTAAACCTTTTTTTAAGTAGAGCGTTTAATCTACAATACTAGTTCATTCTTTGCTTAACCCTTCACGCGCTTCGCTCCTGCGGCCCGCTGCACTGCGCCCTGTCCCTAACCTAAACACCAACTCGGCGGATTCGTGCTGCTGCACTGCAGCTTTACCTTGCACACGCCGGGACAGCATCGCTACCGCTCAGCGCGCGCTACGCTCCCTTTGTGGCGAAGCAGAGGAGCCGCCCTCTTCCTCGCTCCGCTTCACACGCTCCGCAGGCCGCGCCCAGTGCGGAGCGAGCGAGGGTAGAAGAGGGAGGGTGCCGAACAAAGAGCTAGGCTGGGCGGCTGCAGGACTCATAATTTTTTGCTCACCTACCTCCAACGGGTGGGCTGATTATCCCCGCTCTCCTCTATCAGATCTACGATATCCACGCCTCCTTCTGCACGCTCCCATCCGCAGTCGATCCTTACGCTCGGTGTGGTAGGTGCGCTACCCTTCCCCGACCCGAGGGGAAGCGGACCGCTAAATTAGCGGTCCGCTTGCGCCGAGTGGATCGCTGCCCAATACCTCCTCGGTCTTTATTTTATTCGATAATTTCACTACCATCTAGATCTCCTTCGTACTCTATTGCTTTAAGGATATATCACTCTTAATATAAGATAGATAAGGATCCGCTTACTTCGGTTGCTTATCCAGGTTCACAATCTGCACAGACCAGGGGCAAGGCGAACGATAATACGGAGTATGCTAAAGCAATCCTACTCCGCTCGGCCTGCGGGCCTCTCCTCCTGTAGCAGGGGGTGCGCACCCCCACCTGAAGGGCGAGGGTGCAGGAGGGTTAATTAAATTCAAGGAGGCGCGGACTGGTACGCAGCCCTTGCTGGACGAGTGGACCCAGGCGACCCCCAAAGTGCTAAAGCAGGAAGGGGGTATCAGTTATATTTCTGCGATTCTTTGTTTAGGTTACTTGAGTTATAGCTCTAACTCTGCTGCGCGCGGTAACAAGGTCTCCGCTAGTCCTTTATGTGACGTATATTTCTAGGAACTTTATCTGTTCCCCTCACGCGCTCCGCTCCGCGCCTGCGGACCGCAGTGCGCAGCAGCCGAGTGAAGGTTGCTAAAGCAGTCCGCCCTGCGCCCTGCAGCGCTGGGCGAGCACACTTGCGCGCGGGCTGAATGACATTAGTAGTAATCATTAGTAGCCTTAGTTTAACTAATTATTAATAAAGAAGGGTCCTAGTTTCTAAACTCGTATTACTGCCTGCGAGCGCGAAGCGAGAGCAGGATTCGCTCCTGCGCTCGCCAGCAGCGCACTGCGCTCGCCCAGCGGAGCGCGCGGAGCGGTGGTTCTGCTTTATGCGCTTCGCTCCCTTCGGGGGCGCACTGCGCCCTGCGGGGAGATAAATTTTAATTCAGCTTCAAGTTACTTCCTTCTGATAGTATCAACTGTGGAGAAATAATAAAAAAATATAAAGTAGGGATGTAATAATTAATAGAGTAGTAAAATCTGTAAAATTGTCATCTAAAATTAAAGGAGCAAAGAAAATGAAATTAAAAACAAAACCTGAAATAATATAAATAATATATGAAGGTATCAATCCTGTATCTAATTTAGCAATATTTTTTGCGATCTTAGTGAATAAATTAGACAATCCAAAAGGTCCTACTAATTCTATAACACCTTTATCTAATTCTTCTGATATTTTGTAACCAAATTTAAATCCTTTGCTAATGATATAGTTATTATATAGTACATCAAAGAAGTACTTACTATTTAAAAAGTGTATATTTGATATAAATATTGTTTCAGTTAATTTTATTATAAAATTAATATTTTTATTATATAGATATAAGGCTAATAAAGCTCCAATTATACTTAAAAAAGTAGGTAAAAGTTTATAATTACGGGGTAAACTAAATTCAGCCTCAACTAATGTTACATTATCAGGGTGTATAAATAATGCATCACTTCCTTTAGAAGCAGTTCCCGCTAAAAAATCAGTACCAATTCCAACAAATAAATCTGAAAAGATATAACCAAAAAAAAATACTAAATATACCCAAAATAATCATAGGTAATATCATTATAAAACTAGACTCGTGTGAATTTAAATATGTTAATTTACCCCCATTAGGCGAAGTTAAGAAAACTAAACTTATTAACCTAAAACTATAAAAAGCAGTTAAAAAAGCAGTTAATGAACCTAATACAAAAGCATAAGTTCCACTAAAGCTATATTTACTATAAGCTAATTCTAATATTAAATCTTTACTATAATAACCCGAAACAAAAGGTAAAGCCATTAATGAAATAGTCCTACCATTAATAAGGAATAAGTAACGGGTAAAAATTTAATCAGTCCACCCATTTTTCTACATCTTGTTGATCAGCTACTGCATGAATAATTGAACCACTAGCTAAAAATAGTAGAGCTTTAAAGAAACTATGATTTACTACATGAAATAAGGCACATTATACTGACTAAGCCCTACAGCCATCATCATATAACCTAATTGACTAATAGTAGAGAAGGCAACAATTCTTTTAAATCATTTTGAACTAGCCCCGATGAAGCAGCTACAAAAGCAGTGGTAGAACCGATAAAAGTTAATATTAGTAAAGCTGTAGGGCTATATTCTAAAATAGGTGAACTTCTTAATAGTAAATAAATTCCCGCTGTAACAAGAGTAGCAGCATGTAGTAAGGCTGAAACTGGAGTAGGGGCTTCCATACTACCAGGCAACCAACTATGTAAAGGGATTTGAGCGGATTTAGCTAAACTACCCCCAATAATAATAATGAAATAATAGTAATAGAATTGATTAGCACTAGGGGCTAATGAAAAAATAGACTCGTAATTAAGAGTCCCAAATAAACCAATAAGGCAAAGAAAACCGATACTAATATCATATCCCCTGTTCTATTCATAGTAAAGGCCAATATAGCTGCTTTTTGTTTGCTTTATTCTTGTAAAATAGAAATTAATTAACAAATAGGAGAATACCCCAATTGCTTCCCAACCCACAAACATTACAAAATAATTCCCTCCAAAAACTAAAACTAGCATACCTCCTGTGAAAGCAGATAAGTAAGCAAAAATCTTTGATTATGGGCATCAGTTCTAAGTAAGAAATACTATAAAAGTGAATAAGAGTAGAACATATAAAACTGCTAAACCTAATGAAATACTTAAATTATCGAATTTAAATTCTCAATTGATATTTAAAACTCCAGAGTCTACTCAAGAACCTAAATTTAAATTAATAGATTCTCCACCACAGTACTATTTTATAAAAAGCAATACTAATTAAGATTGAAGAAAGCAGTAAAGATAAACAAGTAATAAATTGGGAACCTTTAACTCCTAATTTTCGCCCTAAAAAAACGCTACAAAAGAAACTAATAAAGGTAAAGCTACAATATTATTATAATTAAATTAAGATTCATATATTAAACTTTTAGTAATAAATTTCCTCTTAATTTGTAATATGCTACTATTATACTTAATCCTATTATTGATTCAGCACCTGCAATTGAATTATATAAATACTAAATGTTTGACCTATATTGTCATTTAATTCAAAAGAAGTAATTAATATAATAAAGTGCAAAAAACTAATTAGTTTTAGATTACAAAGCCTGACGCTTAACCTTTACGGTCCCATATTACGCTCTGCTTCGCCTCGCGCTTCGCTCCTGCGGCCCGCAGCACTGCGCCCTGCTGAGGACTGCAGTGCTAAAGCAGTCCGCCTTGCGGCGTGCACGGAGGGAGGTGGGGTGGCTCAGTAGTCTGCTTTTAGGGACCTCTTGCACTCCGGCGCTACGCTGGTCTGATAAGAGCCTTGCACGCTTCGCGCCTGCATGTTTCGGTCAGCCTAGCCTGGCTAGCTAAAACAGAAGGAAGGTAAAGCAGGCGAAGGTAGCTCTAAGCCGGAGTCGAGAAGTAGTACTGAACTCAGGTATTTTCGAGTCCAGGCTGGTTTTGGTTACACCGGTGGCTGGCTGGCTATATTGGTAAGGAGTTGACTCCGTAAAACTGCCCTTGCCGGTAGCTTAACTCCGCAAGGTGCTTCTACTTTAGCTGCATACAGCAGTCCGCAGTCGCGAAGCGCGGGAAGGGTTTGCACCAGGCGCCCTTTGCGATTGCTGAGTAGTAGACGGCAGCTGAGGGTAGGGCGCGTTGCTAAAGACACCCTCAAATGTGCAGATGCGAGACTGATACTCACCGCACCCGCGGTACGCGAGTAGTGCTTTCGAAAGGCGCAACCGCTCCGCGTCAACTGAGAGCCAGCCAGCGCTCCAGGCTCCGAAGCTGGGGACTGAGGAAGCAAGTGAAGGAGCTTTAGGTACCGCAGAGAAGCCGCTCATTATTAGCGGGTACTGTTTCGCGCTGTGGCGGTATTGCACAAAGGGTTTTCTGCAGACGCGGAGAGGCTGTGGTACCAAACAAAGGGTCAGCCATCAGACTCGGTCCCGCGCTTCGCTCTCAACGGCCTGCTGTGCTTTAGCTGCTACGCTACTCAGAGTTCGGGCTAGCGGCCTCGAGACAGCGGAGCTCCTCAGAGCTTCGCTCGCTGAGGGGGGTTAGGTATCTGAGTCAACACAGGGCCTACCCTGCAAGCAGCATTCCCTGATAAGGTTGCGCAGGCTGCGAGGTACGATAATATGTGGGAGTCACAAGTTATATATCGAAGAGTGGGACTCTCCTTTCTACCTAATCTGGACCTTGGAGGCTACGCCGTAACAGCTCTAATTACCTGATCCGACCCTGCCCTTACCTTGCCAGCTTCGCCCCCATCCTCCGCAGTCGCGAAGCGCGGCGGGGGAGGGGCTGTATCTGTATGAGTGCAAGGGTTGAAGCAATAAT